ATTACAGATTTAACAATGCAAGTCTTACTTTTTCATTCTATAAAAAGCCGATGCTCTGTTTGTGGGCAATACTGGATTGTATGGATCAGAATGCATCCCTCTAGTATAGCATTTTATAGCTTCATCAAAGTTTCCTTGTTTAAAGTAGCTATTACCCTGCAAACAGAAAAAAGCCTTTTCAGTAAGTTACTTTACATTGGCAGAAACGTTGCTAATTTTTGGTGAAAAAAAAATAGAAAAATCAAATTTTGTATTTTAGAATGCTTAAACGTTTTTGTTCAACATTTCTCAAGAAGTACTATTTTACTGTGAAATCTGTTTTTAAACTAATACATTCTAAGTATCCCACATATTAAATAGTTCTCATGATATATCCTATGACATGGTTTTATAAAATATTGATTTTCAGTATCTGTAGGTCATTTCCAGAAACCTGTGACAAGCACATACACAGCTGCTTAAAGACTGAATTAATTTTTTAAAAGTTTTTAGTAACTAGATTAGGTACCTCTGCTTTCCAAGGTAATTATTGTAATTTCTCCCTCCTTTGGGACACAACTTTTATCTCTTGTACCCTCAAGTACTTCACTGCAGTCAAGATGATAATGGCAATGACACCTCAATTGCTCAGCATAGACTGCAGATTACACGTTTAGGAATTTTCACAGCAGAACCCAAAAAAACCCCCCCAAAAAACTTACAAAAACCCAAACCAAAACTAAAATTCTTATGAAGTAAAGCATGCACTGACAGATGGGCTAGGTAATTGCTTACAAACAAAGAACTTTCTCAAAACCACACAAGTTGCTGCACAACTTAGCCTATTTCTCATGCCAATGAATCATGAGATAGATCTCTCTCTGTATCCCACCTTATTAGGTAAAATGGAACTGGTACAAACTTGACATTACTAAGGCAGAGGAGACAAACAAGTTCATCCATCATTCCCAGATGTACTGGTCTCACAAATGGACTGTCTCTAAATCCTTGGGGATTTAGTTTGGGGCATTCAGATGTTTTGTTCAGGTAAAAAACTGTTTGATCTATATGGCAATTCTATATAGCAATTCAACTTCTCAAAGCAAAAAATCACCAACACATTTATCATCATAAGCATCCGTTAAGCAAAATCTGACAGACTTGCTGCTATTTGTGATGAGAAGAAAGAGAATTGCAGTGAGAATTTTCTATTTTAGAATAGGTAGGAAAAGAGACATAAAAACTTCCAGATAGGAAATTCTTCTATCAGATGTGTGGTCTCAGTGGACGATCTTTAAAACAAACTACAAATGCTCCTACATGTAAATTGCTACTTTGCCAATAACACATATCTATAATGCTATAACCTTTTCCTTCTCTGCAAGAGCCTTTTCTGCATCTACACGAATTCCATCTTCTTCAGAGTCTGATTCTGGAGATACAGAATCATGAGTACTATCTTCTTTATCGAGTTCTTCAAGTATTTTATCCTGAAATCAGAAAAAAACCCAAACCACCTATTACCTTCATTATAATTGAACAGTGTAAAATAATAAAAGTAAGGCTTTCAGAAAATTATATATTCGTTTTCAAAAATCTTTATTCCTCTCTACTAAGCAGTATTTCACAATTCAAAAGTGAGAGAACTATCCTTTAATACTAGCAGCTGTGTTTAGTCTTAAATTCTAGTAGAATTATGACTTTTTCATAGACCTATTGTTAACACAGATTTTTTTTCCTTAAACTCAAATTCAATCTGCTGGATAAAAGCACAGTCAATAGAAAACCAAGTAGTTATCAATATTCCAAATACTAAACACATAACCTTTTTGGGAGAAAGCTATTTTATGTTTATACAGTACCCAGCACAGTAAGAGACCATCTTGTAGACTGAACTCTCAGTACTCTAACAAAATTTTATTTAACACAGAATCAGCTGAGGACAAGATTCAGGTAACAAAGCAAATATTCTGACTCACCACATCAAGTTTTCCCCATGCTTCATAATCATAGGACTTGATCTTGTTTTTCTTGTTTTCTTCAGACGTTATCTTTGAAGGGACGTTACTTTTGCTTTTCTTCTTTTTCTTAAAAGCCTTGTTTCGAATTGGTGGTAAATTCTAAATTAAGTAATTTAATATAAAACAGATGTGTGAAAGTCACTCGCATTGAAGAATCTATAGTACCTATATCTAGAGACATCCAGTACGTATCCACTGACTAGTTTTATTTTAGAAATCCATCCAGCAAGCTGTTCTCATGAACTCCACAAAACCACTAAGAACAAGTATAAATCTTTCAATACATAGCATACATGCAGAGTATAACTGAAGAATAATTTCAATATATTAAAATTCAGCAGTAAATAAGTGATACTGATGCTGCCAACAGAAATATTCTCCTAAATCTACCCCAAACTGACTAGAAATTTACTGGCCTCATCACCTCCAGAGGCTACTACCCCACAGTTCTGTTGGTGGAACAGTTTACAGAGGAATCTTTGGTCTACTTCAGATGAAGAACAAGTCAGCTGGGTTAGTTCACACCTTCTATTCAGATACTTTAAGTCAACAAATGTAATTTTGCTAAAGTAACATGTAATTATTATAAACACTATCACATTATGAATAGCTAAATTGACACTGGTCTTGTGATTTTTACCTCTTCTGGGACCCCACTCTGTTTCCTCAGTTCAGAATCCACTTCTTTAATATCTTTTTCCCAGCTCTCCAATTCTCTCACAAAATCCTGCAGCTCTTCAGCATTTTGTTTCATTTGCAGCTGTAGTTCTACCGTTTTATTCGGTGCATTCATTGTAATCTGCCAAAATTCAAGGAAAAAAGTTTTCTAAAAAGAACTTGAAAGCATATAGAGAAAGAATCCACTTATTTCAAAACTAAGAAGTCTGACTTATACACAAGTCAGGCTTCCCAGTAGCATAGTAGGAACCTTAAATACTAAGAGACTAAAAAGAAACACAATTTAAATGTCATTGAAAATATGAAGGGAAGCCATTACTCGGATATAACAAAGTATATCATAACAAACAAGTCATGCTTTCCTGACTAAAAGTGCCCAACAAGTCAATGGTAATCCTGAAAGTGCCAGAAAGTCCCCAAAACTTAATAATTATTAATAGTCATCATAAATTTTGCTCTTAATTTTACTATCTTAAGTGAGGAAGTTGTATTATCAAAAATATCAAGTACCAATTAAAAAGTAATCTTACAAATAAAAATCTTGGTTACAATTCAGAAAAAAACCCCATGTTTGTACAGTTCATAGCACAAAAATCTGAAAGGATGAAGCAACCATGTTTTGAAAACAACCATGATTAAGTAATTCATGATGAGCTAAATACAAACTTAGAGATTGCTAACTATAACCTCTTGACTGAAAGCTTCAGGATCTGTTACAAGCCTCATGTAAGTATAAATAAACTATTTACAGAGATAGTACACATAAAATATTTAAGGGAGAAAAAAGACTAAATTATTTAACATTATTTAACATTTAACATATCTAGTAAGATAACAACCTAATATCATAGAAATATAAAAATTTTTGAGCTAAATAAAGTTAATGATTTCTGCAGTTCAAGGGACTATCCAAATTCATAAACAAGGGTCTCAAAGAGACGGAAAAACACATTGTATTATTACTAGCAAACTAATGCCACCAAAGTAGAAATGTTTTTACATCCACAGAAGTAAGCAGCTGAGTAGATGCCCTGCTGCAGCAGTTGTGCTTCTTCCTAGTTCATACATAGGTGGTAACATACTTACGCTGAACAACTTATTTTTCTTGAAGTCTTCTAAATAGTTGGTCTATTTGAAACAAAGCAGAAAAAAACTTTGGATGGAGCAAAAAATGCGTATCTTTCATCACATTTCCAATAAAGGTGCTTACTATGTTTTTTTTCCACCTACAACTGCTGTCCCATACAGAAGTCTCTCTTTAATATTCAGCCTAATAATTTCGTGAAACCTGTGCATGGACACACCAAATATTCCACACGGACTTGTGTATCCTGGCCAATGGTAGTTAGAACAAGACACTTCAAAAGATGAGAGAAAATGCGCTGTGACCTGCTGAACTTTTCTTTTTGCCATGACTGACTGAAACAGTTTCCACTAAACATGTGGAAATCTAACATGAAATCTGTCTGTTTCTTCTCTGGCTGTTTCGTTCCAGTGTATAATGTAAGTTTGCTCCGTCACCCACCAGCCGTACACATCTTAGCAACAATCTTAATCCACGCGGTGACAGCGGCCGCTTCACAGCACAGCTCTCACACCCTTTCAAGGCGCTTTTACTGGATTCTCAGAGCTGGGCCCTCCCCAACACCCGAGAGCCGCCCGGTTCCCGCGGCTCTGCGGGGGAGCAGCCGCACGGCCCGGCCGGCAGCACCCGGGGCAGGGCGGGCCCGCCGGGAGCGGCTCCCCAGGCCGCGCCGCAGGAGGCCCCGAGGCGGAGCATCCCCTGCAGCCTCAACACCCGCCGCTGCACCGCCCCAAGTTACAAGCGAGGCCCTGACTCCATCGGGGTGGACTCCCCCTCCCCTCGTCTCCCACGTCACCCCGCGCGGCCGGGACGCCACTCGACCACGGAGCGGCGGCACCGCGGGGCCGAAGCACCGCAGCACGTCCCGCTCGTCCCATCCCTCCCGGCTTCACCTGCTCCGGGTGTCGCCTCTTCGCCCCGCCGCCGCCCCTCGCCCTCCCCGCGCGGCCGAGGCCCCGCCCCGGATGCAGCGCGACCCCGGAGCGGGACGGCGGAGGGAGCGGCCGGAGCCGACAGCGCCTGCGCCCCAGGCCCGCCCCCGCCCACGTGTCGGGAGCGCGGGCGGCGATTGGCGCTGCCCGGCCCCGGCGCGGTGGCTGCTGCCCTGAGCCCTGAGCCCTGAGCCCTGAGCCCTGAGCCCTGAGCCCTGAGCCCTGAGCCCTGAGCCCTGTGCCCTGTGCCCTGTCCCCTGTCCCGCAGGGACGGGGACCGGTGGGAGCGGGAGGGCACGATCGGCCATGGAGCATGGGGAGGGTGACTCGCCGCCGGCGGCCGAGAAGAAAGGGGCGGTGGAGGAGGATGATTTCGGCTATCGGCTCTTCCCAGATCGGAACAAGAAGCCGCAGAGCTTCTTGGTCCGCAGCCTTTTCACCTTCCACAACAAGTGTCAGTTGATGCTGAGGATGACCCTGGAAACGAGTAAGCGCTTCCCCGTGCCCCGGCGGGCCCGGCCTTGGCGCAGCGGGGGCCCTGCCGTGGGACTCGTGCCGCCCGTGTCCCGCCGCTGTGACCTTGTGCCGCGGGGTCTCGGTGCCGGAGCTGCGCCCCCTCCGCTGCCGCTGCCCCGGGGCGGCCGGACGGACCCCAGCAGGTGGCGGAATGGGCCTGCTGCTTTATGAACACGCTGGTTTTGCCTAACACAAGTTATTTAGGAAGTGGCCAAGAGGGCGTTTTCTTTCCCTAGCAGAAGGTCCTTCTCTACCTTTTTTTTCCCTGAGAAATTGAGATGATTTGTCAATTTCTGTGCGTTTGTGCCCTTTTCACTGTGTGATGTTGACTATGAGTGTTAGCAGCAAACGATGGTCACTGTAAGTCGCTCTGTTTATACTACTAGTAGAATAACTATCAGTCAGGAGTGACTTGATTCCTGAACAGCTTTGACTCTATGCTGGGCTGCATCAAAAGCAGCGGGGCCAGCAGGTCGAGGGAGGTGTGATTCTCCCCCTCTCTTCTGCTCTCATGAGACCCTACCTGGATTACAGTGGCCAGCTCTGGAAAGCTCTCCCCACTATAAGAAGGACATGGAACTGGTGGAGGGAGTCCAGAGAAGGGCCACCAAGTTGACAGCATGACTGGAGCACCTCTCCTACAAAGAAAGGCTGAGAGACTTGGGGCTGTTCAGCCTGGAGAAGAGAATGTTGTGTGGAGACCTCATAGCAACCTTCTAGTATCTGAAGGGGGCCTACAAGGAAGCTGGATAGGGACTCTTCATAACAAACTGTAGTGATAGGACAAGAAGTAATGGGTTCAAACTGAAAGAGGGGAAATTTAGGTTATATATACAGAAGAAATTCCTTACTCTGGGGGTGGTGAGGCAGCTTTTACTGGAACAGTTGCCCAGAGAAGTTGCAGGTGCCTCATCCCTGGGAATGTTCAAGGCCAGGTTGGATGGGGCTCTGAGGAACCTGGTCTAGTGGAAGGTATCTTTGCCCATGGCAGGGGATTGGGACTAGATTATCTTGAAGGTCCCTTCCAACCCAAACCACTCTATGATTCTGTATCACTTCACATAGTCAGAACTGTAACAGATGCCTGTTGCATTGTATTAAGGTTAAATACTGTAAAGTATGAATTTGCATGTATAGTGCTTTTCTTGATTTTTTTTTTCCTTGACTGTGTTTGTATTTTGATTTTATAGATGACTTTCAGAACTTTTGTTTTGAATGTAGGGATTTAGAGAAATTGATTGCAGCAATGTTTTTCTAGATCCATATGCTCAACTGCTCCTTGAGGCTATGAAGCAATCTGGTTGGTACGTAAACTAATGCATCTTGTTCTGTGTAGTAACATCACTATTGTAAGTAGTGACTGATGTTTTTCAAATTCTTTTCTGTAACTTTGTTTGTTTGGGCCTTTCAGCACTGTCTTCAATGACCGGCACTTTTCTTGTGAAAACTGCGATGGCTGTGTCAGTGGAGGTTTTGATGCTGCCACATCTCAGGTAGGTGTTGGACATAGCCCCCTTTCAAAGTACTACAATTTTTTTAGTGTTTTGTTACTAGGATTAAATTTACCAACACTGATATTTACGTTAGTAATGAAAACAAGATAAATGAAAGATGTTCCATGGCACTGAAGGGAGACCTCATTGCAGTCTATAACTTCCTCGTGAGGGGAAGAGGAGGGGCAGGCACTGATATCTTCTCTGTGGTGACCAGTGACAGAACCTGAGGGAATGTCCTGAAGTTGTGTCAGGGGAGGTTTAGACTGGATATTAGAAAAAGGTTCTTCACCCAGAGGTGATTGGGTGCTGGAATAGGCTCCCCAGAGAAGTGATCACAGCACTAAGCCTGTCAGAGTTCAAGAAGCGTTTGGACAATGCTCTCAGGCCCATGGTGTGACTCTTGGAGATGGAGGGCCAGGAGTTGGACTCGATTATCCTTGTAGGTCCCTTCCAACTCAGCATATTCTGTGTGATTCCATACTGAAACTAATATACTGCAGAACGATAAAGCTGTTAATGTTGAAAAACAATGATCTAAAGACACTAAATGCTGTAGGTGATGTGTGCTCTGAGAAGTAAGGGAGGTATTGAAACTTGTTGAAAAGGGTTCTTTTATCTCTTCTTCCTCAGATTGTTCTGTGTCAGAACAATATTCGCCAACAATCCCATATGAACCGGGTGGTCACACATGAATTGATTCATGCATTTGATCACTGCCGTGCACACGTAGATTGGTTTAAAAACGTCAAGCACTTGGCATGTTCAGAGGTAAGTTAAAATGCTTCTAATGTCATTTTATTAATTACTGCTGGTTATTAGAGATGCTTCATGTTATATGGTCTGTTACACACACTTCACTTATTTTGATCCTTTTTGTCCTTTCTGTCAGGTCAACCTAAATAGCTTCATTCAGAAAACAAATACTTAGTTTTCACAAATATTAGTAAGTTAATGTCGTATAAGTAGAATGATCACTGTGAGTATAGACATAGCACAAAGTGGTTATTGACAGATGAGAGTAGTTAGAAGGGAAAACATATTCACACATTATTCAAATGTTTATAGCATTCTTTTTCTCCTGTGCAAATCTTGCTGTGTTGGGTAGTTTTCACAGTAGTACAGTAACTTTATTTTTGTTTAGATTTTTTTGATTAAGAACAAACTTGTCTTTTCCTGTCACATTCATTTTTTGAATAATTGTGATATTGCTAATAGTACACTGTAGTTATGACTCCATGTCAACTGGATGGGGCTCTGAGCAACCTGGTCTAGTGTGTCCCTGCCCATGGCAGGGGGAATTGGAACTAGATGATCTTTAAGGTCCCTTCCAAGCCAAATAATTCTATGATTCTGTGATTTCAGAGCACATTTTCTGCTTAAAAGGCTTTAATAATTGATGCTTTAGGAGGTGAAATTAAATGGATCACAGGTTGGGAAGGATTCCTCTTGTGTATATGATCCATGTGTATTTGCATGCTTTTATTTCATTTCTGATATAATCCCTATCATTTGGCCACAGAAAAATTCTTATGATTAATCTTATGAAAGTATATACTCATGACTTTGTGAATTAGGTATTTTTTAACTGTTTTTTTTTTTAAATACATAAAAATATTTTGGTGGCTTTGTTTCTGGTTTGTTTGGGTTTTTTTAGGTCGTGGGTTGGTTGATTTGTTTGTTATTAATGAGAACTTATTTGATCTAGACTTTAGATGTGCACAAGTTTCACCTATAAACAGTATGTGAGGTAACCAAAATTATGAGTTTGGTACTGAACAAGTCAGATTTCATAAAAATTCATTTTAATTCATTAATTGAATTCATATTTGCTGTAGAAAAGAGCTACTGTCACTTATTATCTTTTTATAGGTAAGACTTAATGAAGTAACCTTATGTGGTATCAATAAAGCCATTCTGTATAGCTGCCAGGAACCCACTGAACCATTCTCTGACTTCCCCTCCTCAAATGTACAGGGGACAAAAGTAAGATTCAAAAGCTCATGGATCAAGATAAGGACATGGAGGTCATTCATCAGTTGCTGTCATGGCAAAAATACACTTGACTTGGAGAAGGTTAATTTAATTTATTACCAATTAATGACAGAATAGGATAGTGAAAAATAGAACTAAAAATACCTTCCCCCTCCTCTCAACTTCTTCCCAGGCTCAACTTCACTCCTTCATTCCTGGCTCTTCTATCTCCTAACCTGCCAAGCAGCATGGGGAGACAGGGAATGCAAGCTGTGGTCAGTTCATAGCACTTTGCTGCTCCTTCACCCTCACTCTGTTCCCCCGATTCAATGTGAGGTCCCTCCCACAGATTACAGTCCTTCGTGAACTGCTCTGAGTCTTCCCCCTGGGCTGCTATTCTTCAAGACCTGCTCTAACTTGAGTCCTTTCCATAGCATACAGTCTTTTGGGGATGGACTGCTCTAGCATTGCTCCCCCATGGCCCACAGTGCCTGACAGAAAATCTACTCCCACATGGGCTGCAGCTTTTTTCAGGGCATGTCTGTCTGCTCTGTCATGGTGTCTTCCTTGGACTGCAGTGTGGATTTCTACTCTACTGTGTTCTTTCACAGACTGCAGGTGCTCCTCTGATGCCTGGAGCACCTCTTCCCCCTCCTTCACTGGTCTTGGTGTCTGTGGGGTTGTTTCCCTCACATTTTTCTTACTCCTCTGTCTCTGTCTACAGCTGCCCTGTAACGCTTGTTATCCTTTCTTAAACGTGTCATCACAGAGATACAACCAGCCACTAATGGTCTCAACTTTGACTAGTGGTGGGTCTGTTTTAGAACCAGTTAAAGCTGGTTCTTTCTGACATGGGGGCAGCCACTTGTCCTGTTTCACAGAAGCCACCCTGGCAGGTATCTCACTGCCAACATCCTGCCATGTAAACCCAGTAATTCAGAATTATTAACTATTGTCTGTTTTTTTGTCTAAGCATTTACACAGTGCAGAATAAAGCATGTAAGCCTCAAACACAAGTTAGAGAATATATATATAAAACAAGATTGTGCATGTTCTTGTGCTCGTTGAGATTATGTGTTTACCTAAAGTCTTCTGATACTTACTTTATTACATGGTGTTTACATTTTTTGTTGATAGCTTTTTAATTCTTACCTTTCATATTTTCCATTCATTTATTCTCACTCTGGTACTTAATTGTAGGAAATCACAGTTTATTTACATTTCCTGACAGACCGAGTAGGGTACAGTTGGAACAGTTGGCAGACAAAAGAAATTACAGTGTACAGAACAAAACAGTTAACAAGTTAAACCATACATACTCATTTAAATGTGGCTTTTTGCAAAACAGATGGGTTACTGCTCTTCTGGGTATTGCAGCTCTAATCTTTGAAAGGTATCTGTCTTTCTTTCTGACTCTTGTAACAGCTTCTGATATACATTGGGGAGAATATTACTTTCCATGTTCTTCTAGCAGTTTATATACATATATACACACATACATATGATCTCTACTGTAGGAATATGTGAGATGTAGTTCCTGGAAAAACTTAAAGGTTGCTGTAGTAATATTTTGCAGTTCACTGAGGCTGAGAGGGTGGATATAAAGGGTAACAGGTACTTAAGAAACTAAAGTGGCCTCGGGAATAATCTCTACCAGCAGTCACCAGAAAAGTACTGAAGAAAAAAATTTGTTTCAACTTTTTTGACCTTGTGTTTTCATGTGTTTCTCTGATCTTGTGGCTTTGTATTTTTCTCAATAGATTCGAGCTGCTAATCTCAGTGGAGACTGTACATTGATGAATGAAATAGCCAGGTTTAAATTTGGATTGAAAGGGCATCATCAGGTAAAGACTGTAAATGTTAAAGTCTAATCATTTTTTATGAGCCATCGTTACCTACTTGATCTCAGCCTTCTGCACTTTCATACCCCAAAACATCAGAAAAAGAAGTAGATGCCATGGGCTTGCTGTTTTCTCTTAACTAACCTTTAATGACTGATGTTAACTTTTTTTCCCAGCGTGTTGTTTTTATTGGAGTGAAATTCCTGAAGACTTAGTAATATCATAAAGCAATACCATTGACAATGGATGGCTAATAAGAACCAGACAAAAAACAGGGTTTGCAGGAAATGTAGTGGGAACATTCTTTTTAAAAGTCTTTGAAAACTGGAGGAAGCAGAATGACCAGATTTCTGAATAACCATGTGTATTAAGTCTTACAAGAATTAATTTTTGTAAATAGTAATGAAGCCTACAGATTGAGTCACAATTAGTTGCTCATGTTAGAGTGGCAGTAGCTTGTAGCTGATATTTACATCTTTTTTATGTTTTTGTAGACAAACTGAAAGAATAAGTTGCCATAAAGAGAGGTATCGAATGCCAATAGAGAAGTCATTTCTTTATGTTTTATAGCATTTCAATTTGAAACTAACTAACTGGTATTTATGTCTGTTTCTTTCTGACATATTTTTCTTGTGTGCAGGATAAGTTTTACAAATACTTGATACCTACAAAAATGCCAAATTGTGTTTTAATTTCTGTTCTAAGGAATATCTTTTAATTGTCACATGGTTTATGTGTACATGGAAAACTAAACCACATAATTAACAGAGGATAAAACTAAAATATACTATAATGCTTATTACAGGCACTGTTTTACTCTTCTGTGATACAAAATTATTGCCTATGTAGTAGGAGCTACTACTTGACAAAATCCGGAAAAAATTTATACTAATAACGTCAGATTTTTCTTTATCTTTTTTCCCCTTTAGACTTGTGTACGAGACAGAGCAATTCGTTCCATTCTGGCTGTTAGAAAAGTTAGCAAAGAAACAGCTGAAAAAGCTGTGGATGAAGTTTTTGATGCCTGCTTCAATGATCTAGAACCTTTTGGAAGAATCCCACACAGCAAAGCAGATGCAAGACGTGCTTATAGAGACTTTCAGAACAGAGATCGCTATAATGCTAATTTGTAAGGGGGGAAAAGAAAACACGTGAGAAACTGTTAATTCTCTGTTCTGTAACATCTGGAGTTACAGTCTGTGCACACAGTGCTGGTGGAAAGGGCAATTCTATCAAATGTATCAATTAATTTTGTAAACTTTTTTCAGGAGCCAGCTTCCGTGGAAGTAAACAGGGTAAATGAACAAGACTAAAAATCGTGTTTCCTCACCTGTTATTCCAGGAAGATAATTTACTATATGCCAAATGACTTGTCAAAAATAATGATCTGCGCATTTCAATGCACATTTAATTCTTTTCAATCTGACTGACTAGGAGTTGGTTTCTAAAAGTTTTGTTGTTACTAAATAAATCTTTTCATTTCCACCATCTTTGATACACAGTTATGAAGTCAGTGATCTTAATCACTCTATTTTAAAAGATGAGCACCCGAACTACAGCTTGAGGGACTAGATTTAATAACTATGGCTAAACCTAAAATATAATAAACTGCTGCGTTTGTTTTTGAGCACCTCTTGAAGTTCTTGGGAGGTCTAACATTTGTTAGTGGTGGGAAAGCTTTTGTGGCTTGAGTCCTTTATGCCCTGAATTGCTGCTCCTGTGCTGATTTTTGTCTGGTGGTGGAGGACTGGGTATGATGATGAGTGTTGCCTTCTCCTGTTCTGTGTCCCAGTATATTTTGTGATAACAGGACTGTCAGTGTATGAAGCTTTGTCAGGCAACACATAACTGTGAGATTTGGCTGCAGTGGGGCAACAGGCTCCCTGGTGAGACTGGAGCGGGAGTGGGGTACTGAACTGCTCAAGTAAGGAAAAGTCAGCACATGCACAGATTTCAAGTGCCTGACAGATGCTACAGCTGAGAGGGGAAGATCCTCCCATGTACCTCCAGAATTTGGCAGCCTCTGACAGGGCTCTTTGACTGTAGCTTTGGGCTTGTGCAATCCACCTATTTATTTCACATGCCTACAGTGTTTTGGATCTGACAGTCATTCTGTAATTTCCTCCTGAGAAGTATTCACTCATGTCATTAGCCTCTAGCCCCATGTCCTGCTTCTAAGGTGTCACTTGGGAACAAGATTCCTGAAGAAGACAATAGAGCCAGGAGTGTGTTTTCCTGACCAGTAGCAAACAATTTGAGAAGATTCACACCTAAGCACTGCCCTCACAAAGGATAAAACAACATATACTAGAAGTGCCTGAGAGGTCTAATCAGCCTGACTTGTCTGAATTGTTCTGTTTGTGTTGGACTATGTGTGTAGGTGTAGCATAATTCATACCTACAGGAACCATTATTTCTGACACTAGGCATTAATGCAGATCCCTCAGAAAGTCATCCCACTTGTATTGGAGGAAGTTGTCTTGACAAAGATTCCCCAAACCTGTGCTTTCAAGAGTGTTAAAGAATTTCAAATGGAGATTTCATAATCTTATTTTCTTGGGGTAATTCCATCCGTGACTGACATAATCGCATGGCTGAATATCTGAACAGAAAAAAATGGGTATATAATACCCTGGATACCTATAGAGAAAATTACAGATTGAGTCCTAAGCTTCCCATGTTTGATGCAGTCTATATAGACCTAGGGTTTCCAAAATCCCCTGGGGATCAGAGATGCCTTAAAAACAGCATAATCTTATATGTTAATATTCCTTTAACCTTTACTTCTCTTCAAATCACCGTTTTAGTCAGTACAATGTATGACGCTGAGTTTTTTATGCTTCTGACACATACTCTGACAGATAATTCCTTCCCTTCATTATACCTTACTAACAGAAGTTCTGCCTTAATTAATGTGTGTGTGTTTGCATTTATATTTTGACCAATACATATTTTAAATATATACATTTGTCTGCTGTCTAGGATAAGCTTTATAAAGTTTACTTAGAAATGGAAAATACAGCAATAAAAACTAGAAAATGTAAGCATGCAAGCTACTTTTTTCCTTCAGCATTTTTGATAGATGAACATGATCAAAATCTTGGAAAGAAAGTATTCCAGAAATGTTGGTAACAAAGACTACATTGAGCTATATGAAAACATATATATATATATAAAATATAAAATCAGTATGAAATGTGATGTGATCTTGGGCACAGTGATCACAAAATGTTTGAGTTTGCAATTCTCAGAGAAGGAAGGAGGGGACTCAGCAGAACTGGTACCCTGGACTTCTAGAACTCAGGAAAAAAAGGAGAGTTGATGACCTTTTGAAGGGACAGGCAGCTCAGGAAGAGTACAAGGGTGCTGTGAGGTTATGCAGTGAGAAAATTAGAAGGGCCAAAGCCCAACTAGAACTTAATCTGGCTACTGCTGTAAAAGACAATAAAAATGTTTCAATAAATGCATTTGTGACAAAAGGAGGGCTAAGGAAAATCTCCATCATTTATTGGATATGGAGGGAAATGGTAGCAAAAGATGAAGAAAAGGCAGAGGTGCTTAATGCTTTCTTTGCCCCAGTCTTAAGCAGTAAGGCCAGTTGTTCCCCAAGTACCCAGCCCTCTGAGTGGGGAGACAGGTGCGGAGCGGAATGAAGCCCCCATAATCCAAAGGAAAATGGTCAGTGACTTGGTACACCGTTTAGACACACACAAGGCTATGCAGCTAGGTGGGATTCACTGAGGGTTACCGAGGGAGCTGGCAGAAGTTCTCACTGAACCACTTCCCATCATTTACCAGCAGTCCTGGTCAAAGAGGAAGGTCACAGTTGACTGGAGGTTAGCAAATGTGATGCCCAGTTACAAGTAGGGTCAGAAAGAGGATCCAGGGAACTACAGGCCTGTCAGTCTGACCATGGTATTGGGGAAGGTCCTGGAGCAGATAATCTTGAGTGCCATCATCTGGCACATACAAGACAACCAGGGGATCAGCATGGTTTATGAAGGGTTTATGAAAGGCAGGTCCTTCCTGACCAATCTAATCTCCTTCTGTGACAAGGTGACCTCCTTAGTGAATGAGGGAAAGGCTGTGGATGTTGTTTGCCTGGACTTCAGTAAAGCCTTTGACACTGTCTCCCACAGCATTCTCCTGGAGAAAGTCTGCTCGTGGCTTGGAGAGGTGCACTGTTCGCTGGGCTAAGAACTGTCTGGATGGCTGGACCCAGAGCGTGGTGGTAAATGGTGCTACATCCAGCTGGTGGCAGGTCTTTAGTGGTGTTCCCCCTGACTGGGACCAGTCCTGGATCTGGGCAAGGAGATTGAGTCAATGGTCAACGATCTAGACAAGGGGATCAAGTTCACCCTCAGCAAATTTACAGGTGACACCAAGGTGGATGGGAGTGTTGGTCTTCTGGAAAGTAGGAAGGCTCTGTGGAGAGATCTGGACAGGCTGGATTGATGGGTTGAAGTCAACAGTATGAGGTTCAATTAGGTGAGGTGCCAGGTCCTGCCCTTAAGTCACAAAAGCCCCATGCAGTGCTACAGGCTGAGTGTCTGGAAAGCTGCCCACTTGGGGGTATTAGTTGACAGTTGTCTGAACATGAGCCAGCAGTGTGTCCAGGTGGCCAAGAAGGTCAATGGCATCCTGACCTGTATCAGAAATTGTGTGGCCAGCAGGACTAGGGAAGTGATCATCCACCTGTACTCGGCACTGGTGAGGCCATACGTTGAATCCTGTGTTCAATTTTGGGCTCCTTACTTCAAGAAGGGCATTGAGGTTCTGGAGCATGTTCAGAGAAGGAGCTGGTGAAGGGTCTGGAGCACAAGTCATATGAGGAGCAGCTGAGGAAATTGGCGTTGGTTAACCTGAAGAAAAGGAGGCTCAGGGGAAACCCTATTGCTTTCTACAACTATCTGAAAGGAGGCTGCAGCTAGGTGAGGGTTGGCCTCTTCTCCCAGATAATAAGAGACAGGACAAGAGGAAACAGCCTGAAGTTGTGCCAGGGGAGTTTTAGACTGGACACTAGGAAAAATTTCTTCATGGAAAGAGTGGTCAAGCATTGGAACAGGCTACTCAGGACAACGGTTGAATCACCATCTCTGAAAGTATTTAGAAGGCATGTAGGTGTGGCACTTAGGGACATGATTTAGTGGTAGACTTGCATTGTTAGTTTAATGGTTGGACTCAATGATCTTTCCAACCTAAATGATTCTTTGATTCTATAAAATAATTGCTATGAAATAAAATTGCATAAGCAGAAAACGTCAGCTTAAGATACATTTCTGTTACACCAAGTCCAATTGTAATGGCAGAAAATATGCACTACAAGTCACCAGTAAGCAAGCAGGACAGTCTGATGTCTTCCTGTCATTCCTTGAGGAAACGAAGGACAATAATTACATGGAAATTTGCACACACTGTTTATCTATTCAAGTAATAATTTAATTGCTTTAGGTGCAATTTTAATATACATAATTTTTTCTCATCAAAACAGAGGTAAAAAAATGACTGAAAGCTCCATGCAAATACAAAAAATATGGGAATCGATTAAGCAGCAGAGGGTGCTGAAAGACTGTGCAACAGCATACTGCTGTGGAAAGCCACTTGCAGATTATACACAGCTATTCTTCAGTGTGCAGTTCAGTCTTGGTTTAAATCTCTGTTTTAATCAAATTTGCATAACTTTCATATTAAAAGAAGTTAAAAATTAAGATGTATTTCCATCACATTTTTTTCTGCTTCTGCAGAATATTTGCTTCCTTTAGAAGACCACCTCAAGACATATATGGAAATACTTTTGGCATTTGTGCTGTTTTGGAGTGTGATTGCATTTGCAGGGAGAGTTAGATAAATGCTGGGATATGTGTGACAGAGAAAAATGTCAAGCAGTAAAGACCTGTCATCAGTAAATAGAATCATGCAAATTGCATTAGCTCAATTCCTCATGCCTGAATTTTCACAAGATTATAATTTTGTCTCTTATATCCGAAAGATTTTCAAGTTTTGACAAAACCAAAGAGCAGGGAAAAAAGAGAACATCATTGTCCAAATAGTAAAGATATATAATTTTACACAGGAGAGTAATTTAATAGAGTCTTCAGGTGTTTTGTTTCTGCTAGAGAGGAAGTGTTAGCTGTGACATACCTCACTGAATAGCTCCTTGTCAGAATTGTTTTTAAAGTTTGCAGTACCTAGCTCTCAGGTGCATGGATGTATGTCAGTTACCGCAGGAGTCTTCATGTGTAGTTTTTTAAAACTGTTTTAGAGACCGTAGCAATTATAAGTGAAAACAACAAAAATCATCAGTAAGCAAAAAAATGCAACTCTGAAATAATGAAAAGTTCGTAAGTTTTCAAGGAATTGGTCAGGGAGTCTTATGTCTTGCTAGGTTTGAAGAGTTCAGCACCAAGAGGTTTTTATCCACTGGAGATTCACCCAAATTAACTAACTAGGATTTATCCTTCAGCCTGCCTGTAAGCCTCATTAAAAAGAAAACTCAAAAACAAATATTTACATATTTTTATTCAATAGGACTTGGGTTTTGTTGTTTTTGTTGTTGTTGTAACTCTTTAAGGGGTCATGAGAAATTAATTCAGAATTTGGGAGAAAGTGAAACCGTTACTCTCAGTTTCTTCAGAAAGAAGACGAAGAGAAGAAAAAGGAGAAGAAGGGCACACACAAAAGACACTTTGTTGGTGGGTAAGGAACAAATATATAAGAGTTCTTGGTCTCAGCCCCTGTTCTACTAAACACTAAGCAAAAAGTTTTGAAGTGCTTGCTGATTTTACACCCATGTTCCCTACGTACACATATCAGCTGAGGAAAAGGTTGTAAACAAGGCAGGACTGTGTAACAGCTGGACAGCATGATGGCTGCAAGGGGAGCAGGAAGCCTCTAGTATCCAGTCAGTTTGGTTAGTTCCCCTTCCTCCTTTCAAGTGCAAAGTGAAGCCCTCAGGGACATCTTTCCTACTCTCCAAAGTGTTTTGCAGTTGAGTGATTTTCCTTCATCTCCATTTTTTTTTCCTGCTGTTTTCTCCTTGTTTGAGGGAGTTACTTCTCAATGAATACATTACACTTGTCCCCTTTTCCTACTCAACTTCCTCCTGTGCGTGTGTGTGCAAGTAAATGATGCCCTTTCTTCTATTCCTTTCATTACTACTTATCTCCTTCTCCCACTGTGTGTCTTCAACACACATCAGGGAGATGGTAAATGAAATTCTGTCTGGGGAATCAATGTTACATATGTGAGATTGAGGGGTATTTCTTCCTAGTGCCCTCTTTCAATTTCCATGTCCTAATCACACAGCAGTGGATTTTGCTCTGATAGCTTCGGTCTGGTCTAGTGGGACCAAGCTGGGAGTTCCCAAGAGCAGACTGTGAATGAAGATTTGAATCGCCTTCCCCCGGTGCTATTTCTACGGAGCTTCCTTCTCACCTCTGGTCATATGCCCGTGAATAAACCTAGATATGTGTATGCATCTTGACTGTGTCTCCACCACTCCTCCTGTGCCCCAGCTCCTGCTACTGTCTTCCTCTGTTCCTCAGCTGCCCTCACACTCCCTGCATCCATGCCGAACTGTTGTTGGTTCCAGCAGGTG